GCCAAGGAATTTGAGGTTGCACTGCACTCTAGCCTGGACAACAGAGCAAGACCCTGTCTCAAAAAATTAAAAAAGAAAGAAAGAAAAAATAAAAATGTTTTAAATGAAAGATGAAGTTTTATTATTATTAAAAACATATTATAGCAGGCAAAAGCAGAAAATTAATATTTATTGTTTTGAATTTCTACTTTGTGCCAGATCAAATGAAGAAAGTGAGGAGTTAAATATCCAGGGTATTCACTGGGAAAATAAATTATACTCATTGTAACAATGTAGCAATTTACTGATTATTTTTCCCATAGACATTAGTCATGCCATAATGGCTAACCTTTAAATTAGCCGGCAAATGTTTCTCTTTATAATTGTTCCTGTTAAAGATAAAATGCTGGCTAATTTCAATAGCAGGGAAGAGCAATTAGAAAATTAAAGAACCTTTCTCTTTATACTTCCACTTCAAAAGCTCTATGTTAGTTTAAGAAATGTTTTATGCTTTGATCGGAGCTATTAGCAGATGGCTCTATTTTATGAAAGACAAGAGTACATCTAAAATGCCAACACATTTGTGAAATCCAATTCAGAATTGCATTAATTAATGTCTATTAACAAGGTATAAGTTCTTAGTTAAACACTTATTTGGTCTGTGCAAAAAGGATTATTAATTTAGTCTTTTTCAAGGCTCTTTGGTTCTACGTAACAGAAACCCACTTCAACTAGCAGAGGCAAAAAAAGACTTTATTGGGAGTTAACAGGTTAGTTCTTCCATACTGGTCCCTTTGTTGCCTAGTTTTCTCTGCTGCTATGCCTGCCTAGGTCACACCATGCCACTCCTGTCCCTAACATGCCCTCTGAGTTACTACATCAACTTTAAATTGTAAAATTTCTGAGTCATAAATACATTTTAATAGGAAAGAGAATCTTATGAGTACACCTTGGGTCAACTATCTACTTCATAGTCCAATCAAGACTTAATTCAACAAGGCTACAGTTTCTCTGGAAGGAGAACTGGACACAATAGCAGAGACTTGAGTAGTGACCAGAGCCATCGCTAACTGGCATCTGAGACCCTGTGCCACTCAGCCTTCCTGCTTCACCATAATCTCACTTGCAGAGGCAACAAATGAGAATCAATCATTCATCATGTCCCTTTGAAACAATATTTTAAGCAGTCACAAAAATCACTTATCTTAAGTGAATATCTTCCAGGCCAATGATAAAGAATATTACATCTGCATGTTATAAGAGTTCAATGAAGGAATACTCAACTATTAGCTTTAAAAAAATCTGAGAAAATTGAAGGATAATTGTAAGCATAACAAATGATTTCATTATAATAAAATATTTAATTATATTCCTATTGAAAGAAAAATAATATCAGCTAGCACCTATTGCACCCTAACAATAGCCAGGCATTGTATTAAGCATTTTAAATGTATTATCTAACTTAATTCTCACATTTATGTAAATTGGGCCTCATTACCCTCACTTGGAGATAAATTTACAATTGAGTTAAATATCTCACTAAAAGTCAAATGCTCTGATGAAGCGCATCTGAGGCTCAACTCTGATTCTGAAACTTTTGCCACTCTATGGTAGTCTGCCTAGTTTTCTTTTGACATGAGTATACTTCTTCCCAGTGCTTGTGTGGGCTGCTGGGTAAGGGAGATGTAGATTTGATTCCACAAGGGTAATTATAGTCTACCCCAGTTATTCTGGCCATCTACCACTCACTCATGGGTCTGACTCTATTATCCATTACTACTATCCCAGGGCATACATGAAGGGGGGGAGAAAGTAAAAAGTAAATGCAATGGTAAACTGATACGCTTTGGGTTTGTGAGACACAAAGGGATGGATGAAAACCTACAAAAAGTCATCCAATGCATTTTACTTCTTATCTCCCCATCATCTTATTCCATACCCCTTTACAAAATCATAGATTGCAGTATTTTATAAGCCCACCTACTAAAGAGCCATTTAATTCAGACTGATCCCAGGATAGCCTGTCTAAGGAAAAGCAGCATAGAATTTTGATAATCCTCAGAATAGATAACCATTCCTTAAACTAATGAGAGTTGACATGATGCTTATTTGGTTTATTTTTGAATCGATACTGGTGGGGAACTAAAAGTTCTTAATTCAATATCCCATGTATTTATAGAACGCTATTAATAGGTAAGGCACATTACATGCATATTTATAATACTCCCCTAGATGGTATCATGGTTAAAAAGAATCTATAAGATACATGGATAAAATGTATAGCACTGAGAACACAAGCAGGTATTTAAATGGAAATAGAACAGGAAACAGACTTAAGGAAGATAAGGCCACGAGACATCACCATCTTAATATTTTTCATTTTCTTTGCCATCAGTAAGGTCTTTGCCATTGTCACTGATTCATTCAATAAATATGTATTAATATGCACCAGGAAAATGTGCTTGGACCTTGGGAATCCAGTGGTAGAGAGAAACAGAAATGGCTGCTTCCTTCATGGAATTTAGGTGTCATATTTTTCATTTGCTAAATCCATGGATATTCCTAATTGATTCGAAACACACATAATATGCAGCTAATCTTCATCTGTTTCTCTCTTGCCCTCATTTGGTCTCTGTTGTACCTTCTGCACCTCATTTTTATCCAGAAACTACCCAAGCTGCTCAAGGATCATTTGCATGAAAAAAGCGTGGGGGGGGGGGAGAAGAAGAGTCAAAAAATAAACAGAGAAGCAGCAAAATATTTTCATCCATTCTCTGTGACTTTCTCTTCTAGATTTAGAAATGTTATTTTACACTTTCTGTGTTGGGGTTAAGATAACCCTGAGTTATCCTAGAAGATCTGTCCAGATGCGGGAATAGAGTGCTGTCAGCCTTTCGCTGCATGTAACTGCCCATTTCTGGTGCTTCCTGTAGCTATGAAGTAGTACATAAGTACACGTTGTTTCTACCATACCTAGTTCCAGTCTTCTGAGTAAGCCATCAATCTTGCAACATAATTGCGAACTATTCTTCTTGAATGCAACAATAACTAATGGATATGAACAAGTAAGAAATTATAGGCACCTACTGCCTGTAAGATCATCACTGCACCCCCAGTGCCTAGCAGAGTGCATGGCATACAGAAAGTACTAAATGATCTGTACAAAGGAATGAATGAATGGATCTAGAATTCATCTATATACAATACTAAAGCATCACTTACTTACTGACCTCCCACTATCTGGGTAGCTCTAACAAGTCCCTCAATGTCAATTGATTTTCCATCCCATTTCCATCCCTTTGTCTGTCTCCCTCATCTGTTTGATTTTGTGTTCCAAGATTCATAACGTACAAGTGAAGCTACTAGGTGGATTCTCATCCCTGCATTGTACGTGTTTGGTTCCCAGCCTCTACTTTGATTTTTTGTTGTTGTTGTTTTTATTTTTGTTCGCTGTGAATTCTCTGTATTCTGGTGGGATTCCCTTTGATTTGTTACTCTCTTATTTGTTTATTTTCTAGTCATATCCCCTTTCAACCCATCAGTGAGTAACCCTTTAGAGTTAAACCCTATAATGTACAATTAAATCAGGAGAGCGAAGTGCAGAGAGTATTATTTGTTCACCATAGGGGTATTGCAGACTGACTTGAATCTCTTCTACAATCAAGAGTTATTGCAAGTCGTATCATCAAAGACATTTATGTAGCAGCGTGAGCCCACAGAACCTAAACGGGATATACACCCTGCTGTCTTCCAGACATACACCAGGTGGCGTCCCTGCACAACAGCCCTGCGGTTAGAAAGGGGCATTAAATGGAATCTCCTCCCCAAGAGAGAAAACATCTAATGAACGCTGATGATGATGGGAAATAGGCTTAAATTAAAAAATAGGTCAACTTGGGAATATTCTGACTGCCTTGAATCAAAGTAGAAATATTAATAACTAAAATGGGTTTTCTTCTACAAACTGCATATGTGGTTCTTGCCTTCACTCTCTTAGTAGTAAGGATTATTTTCCTCTGAATATAATCATTTCTAAATACCAAAAAAAAGTAAATAAATAAATGTATTTGTTTCTGAAAGAAATTTCTTAAAATACTCTAAATTAGGTAAAGGCTAAGAAATCAAATACCCTATTCTTTTAAATGTTTTCCATTGGATTTATTCCCAAGACCAAAAATCTGAGTCACATACATTAACGTATTTTATTTGTAAAGATTTCAGTATGTAACTTCAGTTTAGAATTCTATGCTTTAAACATCATAACATCTAAATAAAATTAACAATAATTCTTTAACATTATCAAATATCCTTTCGATGTTCACATTTGTAAATTATCTCATAAGTGTGGTGCAACTTTGCTTACAATTTGCTTTATCTGAATTAAAATAAGTCCATACATTAAAATTGTCTGATGCATGTGTTTAATCTCTTTTCCTCTATAGGTCCTCCCTTGATGCCTCTCTAATATTTTATAGAGAAAAAGGGATCACTTATTTTTAAAGATTTTTCCAATTGTCTGAATTTTGCTAATTGCATTCCCCTGAGAACACTTGAAGTTTCAATTATTTTCAATTTTTTGAATTTTTTTTCAAAAATTTTCAATTTTTTGAATTTTCAATTATTTCAAATAATTTCTTGAGTCAAAAGCCTATATATGTAAATATATATGTGTGTATATATATATATATATATATATATATATATATAAAATCCCCAAATCTAGTCCTATAGAGCCACCTTAGTGAAACATTTTTTTAAAAAATTATTTAATAAACCATTTCACCACTGGATTAAGTAATTTAATGTGACAAGACATATAACATTTCCACTAGAACCCTTTGTTCTGTTTTGAACATATAAAGAAGGCAATACTATTTGTGTGATGTGGTTTTATTCCATACCCCAAATTTTCTTGCTACTCTCCTTTTGCATATTAACATAGCATTTGAAAGACAGAATGTGGGTCATGAATTAAACTACAAGCTGAAATGCAATAAGCTCTTTAGTTCTTTTTTACTCACCAAGTACTGCCTTGTCCCAGATGATCTCCTTTATCCATCTCATCCTAAAAATACAAGTCTTGTCTTTGGCATTTTCTGTTGAACATGTGCTGTCAAAATCCTGGTGGCTCGTCATCTGAAAGTACTCATGACTGTAACTACAGTTGAGTTGGTGTATTCAAATGCAAAATTTAATCATATATTTATAAAGTCGTTTTATTAAGACCTCAACATTATTGCTCTGATGCATCAACTATTCCTAAGAAAAACGCAAATAAAGTTTACTACAACTTGGCTTTTGTAAGTGCATAAGTTAACCATTGTGGGCACCAGAGACACTAAAATTCTTTATTCAACAAGTGACCAATCTGTGTGGATGAAATACATTCTGGGCACAAAACTCTGATTTTAACTGTTAGTTGAATCCACCAACTTTCCATTAGCAACACTTTAGCTGGTACTTTTGGATTCTAGATCTTATAAAACTTTCAGCTAATTAAGGGTGAATGAACTCACACTATGTACTTTATTTCAATTTAAAGATAGAGTGTGGTTCTGACGGTAACTTTAACATCTAAATAAGGTCAGCAAACTCCTCTAGGGAGGATTTCTCTATCATCATTTTTCTCTGCTTCATCCAAAGCAAATGCCACACTGTTTTGTAACATCCTATAATGGAATCACCTTTTCTTTTTATCGGAATGCACACTCTAATTGCAGAAAAGTTTCAGGTTCATTGCTATTGCTCAGGCCTGAAGGAGTCATTTTTAATGGTTTTCTGTTGGGTTTTTTTCTGCTTTAGTTTATATCTCCCACCACACAGATTGGTGCTGCTCTCATCTCGTGCACACATTGTCAATCATGCCTTCTGCAGCTGCTTGGGACTGTCCTAGGAGAGAAAGAGGTAGGCATGCCAATTACTTTGGATATATACAGACAGAGAATACCTTCCTGGCTAACTTCTGCTTCAAGATGCATGCCTCTAATCTTTAAGGCAAATGCAAATGGGTGGCACAGGTATTAACCTAGCTGGCTCAAAAACCATGTCAGACTAAATAACCCTTTAATGGCCTATAATCAGTATGGAGTCAGTATGAACAAATTTAAAGGTTCACATATTTCATCTTTCATAGCAAGGCATCCACATGGAAATGGAAGTCTTATTTGATGGTAAGATAGGCCACTGGAGAATCCCAACTCTATTCTTCAAAATTCTGGAAGTTCTGAAGTTTCTCCAAATGGAGGAGAATACAGATAGCAGTTTGTTAATTGGTTTACGTTTTCAATTCATAGGGTAGGGGCTAATATTCACCCAACAACTTCTTCTGTATATATCTTGAATGCACACTGGCTATTCTTCGGAGCTGTCACAGTGCCTAAGATTAAGCTTGTTGTTGCATTTTATGACCAATCAAGAATTGTCTGGGACTCTGGAGTCATGCAGGAAACTACTCATTTCCCATTTCTTTTTGTCTGCTAAGCCAACCTGTCTCACTCACTATGTCTAACTTTGCTTTTATTTATCCTCTCCAATCTAGGAAAAATTCTTCTTGCTAGCCTGTTGTCTATATAATCTTCTTAGTCTGTTTTGTCATTGAATTAGATCATCAGGTTACAGAGAAAGCAGAAATCTGAAGAGCATTACTGTTAGGCCAGTGCCATGCACAAGTAAGTCTTTGTGAAACACATTGGGCAATTAAAAGTAGTCAAAAAGCTTTGTACACCATGCCTCACCAGACAGAAGACACAATACAGATACTCTAGACTTAGAGACATTTGACAACTTCCTTATGATTAATTTTATATATTTATCAGGAGAGAAAATAACTAATAGGCAGGTGGCACAGAAAGAAATAGATGGTGCTCAACAAAGAATATGGCTGAAAGAAGATGGTCACCTTCTCAAGGAACACCAAAATGAGGATTCAATGAACCCAAAAGAAATGTACTTCCCATGGGATTGAATAACCTGTAGCCATTGTGTTTCCCTTTGCCTTGAGAGTTCAAATATTTGTGTTTCTGTGAGACTGCTGATATACAATGCATTTGTTGAGTCTTCTTCATCTAAAGCAAAAACTGGCAGCCCATTGATGGTGTCAAGAATTGACGTGACTCTCATATGAACCTCTAACTTGAGAGTCATAGATTTATTCAAGCTGGGAAGCATTTGAGGATCACTGAATTGAACTGCTCATATCACAGTGATTTATCCAGGGAGAGCAAATGACTTGCCCAGCTATTTGGCAAGAGAGGCAGATCTCACACCCAGAAACCCAGACTCCCAGGTCAGTTCTCTCATGGGGCCATTATGCTATTAATGTATTCTTTTTAAAGTCACTTATGCATATGAAAGAAAGAAAGAAAGAAAGAAAGAAAGAAAGAAAGAAAGAAAGAAAGAAAGAAAGAAAGAAAGAGAGGGAGGAAGGGAGGGAGGAAGGGAAGCAGGGAGAAAAAGAAAGAAGAAAAGGAAAAGAGGGGAAAAAAAGCCTCATTATATAAATGTTATTCCTGTATGTCCACTTAGGCGTTGATCAGTTAATACCAATTTGCATCGGGTGTTGGGCAGGTGGGAGGAGGGAGAAGGGGATGGGTATATACATACATAGTGAGTGAGATGCGTACCATCTGGGGGATGGTCACGCTTGAAGCTCTGATCGAGGGGGGAGGAGGAGCATGGGCAATATATGTAACCTTAACATTTGTACCCCCACAATATGCTGACATAAAAATAAAAAGCCTCACTGAAAAAAAAATAGAACACTATAGGAAAACTAAAAAAAAAAATTCATTTTAGTGATAACCAAGTTCTAACAAAATGCATCCATGCCTCACACTCGATGTCTAGACAGACTGTTCCTTAGTTGGAACAAACTCCTGGGCGTACATCAGAGCTCCTGGCAAGAACCTACCAGTGATCCCTCGCCAGTATGCCTTATCCTGCCTGGTGAACTCTTTTCCTACCTCCATATAACACAATGTGAGGTCACATGTGTTCTTTGTTTTTGTTTTTCTTTCTAATATGACATTTTTTCAGTAGAAAAACATTTAAGTAAAACGCCTTAACCTTCCTAAATTAATTAATGTGGGATCTAGAAAGACAAACTCATTTTCTTCTTTACTCAATTTCTTTAGTAAAATATGAGCACAAACAGCAGCCCATAGACCTATGCAAGGCCCCTGAGAGAACAAAATGATAGATTTTCTAACTAATATCTTCCTAAATCCTGCCCCCACACCTTACCATAAAAATAGACACAGATTATCTACAAATTCCAAAGCATATACTAACTCAGTCTGTTTTCCTATTTTTTCTATCTCCACAACTGCTGTCATAGCTCACATGACAACTCCTCTCTCTGAGATCATCATTTGGCTTTCTAATTATCTTCTGCCTTTTTCTTTTACCTCCTTATCATCATTGAACAGTCATATTGCTTTCTTTTAAAGGCAAATCGAACCTTCCCTTCCTGGTTAAAACCCTCCAAAGGTTTCCCAATGCACTCAGAATAAAATTCAAACTCCTTAACCTAATTGGAAGAGGAGGTTACAGTACTCCAAAAAGAGCTGGAAGAGAACCAACTACTACAAAAGGAGACTATATTACTGATCACCTTTGTTCTTGAAATCTATTTTGGATAAAATGAAGTTTTTGAGCCCAGAAAACAAATCCTATTTTTAAGTGATATTTTCTAGAACCATAAAAATGTCTGTGCTTTTCTCCCCTTTGCTATTCCAGACTTAATCCAGTTCTTGTTTGACTGCTCTAGATTCAACTCTGCTCAAAGATACAAATGAAAAGGCCCTTTTTTACACTTGATCTTGGAAGATTGTTGAAAAAATGTTACACAGTTCTAAGTCCAGAATAATGAGAGGGTGTTAATTTGCAAGAGACTCTACCTCGACAAAGAATAGAGAAGACTGCATATCTGAGACAGAATCAGGGTTTTGTGCTCTAACTGCCATCCATGTTTTTAATGCAAATATTAAGAGTTTAATGAAGAGGGAACTACAGAGGGAAGCGTTTTCTTATTTGGGGGAATACCAAAATCACTGGCTGAAGTTAGAGGTATGGGAGAAACTGCAATCAGAGAGTCAGGAGAAAAAAAGAATCATGAGAGCTCTTTGTTGATCAACTTTTAGCTCTGAGACAAGTGTGATGAACTTAAGCTCAGTGGGTATTTCCCTACCAGTTAAAATAAGAAGGCATAGGAGACCTCAGGAAAAGAGTTCAGGCTGTTTCACCTTTCTTACTAGCATGTGACTAGAGACTCTGAGACCAAATATCTCTCAATAACTTCCTTGAAAACCCTGTATCTCTGGGTCCATATGTCCCCAGTTCTTCAGGATCAGCCTCTGGGAAAGTGAGCATTCATCCTGGGGATCCATAGTTTTCTCTGCCCACTGCAGAGAAACCACCTCCTCCTATCCTCTTCTCCTTACCTGTTCTCATGTATGAGAATAACCTGTAGCTTTTGGAAACTAGACATGCCCTGGCCACTCCCTCAAAGATTATGATTTGTAACTGGCATGGGTCCCAGAATTTAAGAAAAATGAAAAAACAACTCCCCGTACCATTCTGATGATCACTCCCAGCTGAACCTCAACCCAGCAGAACCAGAGGAACCACGCAAGACTGTACCTACCTTAGCTGGTAGAGCCATTGCCACGTCTTGAGATCCTGCAGGCTCTGCTGCCCCCTGGTGGTAACCATGAAACGTACCCTACCCCCTTTCTAGACCTAGTTCCCCAATAAAATCAAAGAAATATCAGCTGAGAACCAACTGTGTCAAAAGTACCGTGCAGGGAGCTGTGACACAATGCCATGCGACATATTTCTTCATCCATATTTTAAAATTCAAGAAAAATATTCATCCTCCTTGAAACGGCTCCAAATACCTAACGCAACACTTACGTACGAAACTGCCACTACAATTTTGATCAGAAATGCAGAGTAAGCAAACATTAGTCTGTGCTAATAGAAGTTTAAAACTAAAGCTGTACAATCAATAATAAATATAGTTTAAATAAAATGGATTCTTTTCTTATAAATTATAGTATTGTTTCCTCTTTTCAAAACATATTCTATTTAATTCCTTAAATAAAAGTCTTTTTTGGTGCTCTGACCAACCAAAAATAGGTACCTTAGAGTCTGAAACTACACTAAAAAGAATGAAGGATGGGCCCTCTTTTAGATATTAAATCTTTTCATCAACCATTTCTAGTTGTTAATCAAAATGTTCACAAAAAATGAGTTATAAGTGAATTTCAGAGGTTTTTTTTTTCCTGAGCATCCCTGAAAATTGCCCCTAAATTGCTACTGTCTACTTCTGAAATTGGAAGAATATGGCATATTTTCCAACTTATCTAATATTTCTTTTCCTTTGAGTCTGCTAAAGAATTTTTTTTTGTCATCATGTGTTTCATTTAAAGAAGTATTTACTAATAAGATCATTTTCACTTTGTGGGAAGACATCTGTTTCCAATTCAATTTCTGGAAGCAAAGCAGAATTCTGAGCAATTCACAACTATTTGACAGTTTTCCATCTTTGTTTCCACTGGTAGAAACAGCCTTCTTAAATGTTTGACTGTTCCAAATGAATTAATAATATATCTAATTTATGTTCATGTCTAATCTAATGTTCCCAAACTGGGATAATTTCTACTCAAAGACTTCCCTATAGCTGTTTTGCAGTACAAGGTGTTCGCTATGTTATTTTTTTTTATGTGACTTCCTATCATTATAAACATAGAAACCACATTTTAATGTATCTAAATCTGTCTTTGATACTTATCTGTCCTTTGATGCTCATAAATTAAATATGCATTCAGGGACATGTGGGTGTTTTTTCACTGTAATAAACTATAGCGAGAGCTGAGGAGTTATGAGAT